TCTCATACCATAATTACTTGCCCAAATAAAAGGACCAGAATTAATATTTTTTTGATAGGGCAAATGCCAAAATATGCATGATTTTATACCTTGAGAACAAAAATGTCCACCCATTAACATTTCCTTCCAATTAAAGCAATTGAGATAGTTGGCATGGCGAACAGTGATGACGTGTACGAATGACACGTGATCGAAAAAATTAAAACGGTGACATAAACAACACGATGTCGTTTTATCATGGATCTAAGCTGTTGTCCAGCTTATTAAATTCAAAACGACGTTATGTACATGCAAACATCTTAATTTACGCTCGGATGATATGTTGTTGTCCACGTCATCACCACTTGTCATGTGAGTTGCCATATAAGACTACTTAGACGGAAAAGTTAGCAACCGGGTATTTTAGAAAAGTGGGGATATTCTTTTATCATCGGGTATTTAATTCATGGTTATTATTATTATTATTTTGGCATCTTGCATTTTCCTGGTGAAACAAGTAGTTACCAAGACAATCACGTTCATATATTAGAATTTTTTGAAGTTGTTATTGCACTCTGTGTCTTTGACGTCGTCGTCGTCATCCTGAACAATTTAGACATTTAGACATTATGTTCATTACACACGTCACTTTATTAGCAAATGCTTGTAAGAGAGGGAACAAACTACAACAAATTACAATAGTAAGATGTGGTCCTTTCCTGCTCACGTATGGGGCATAATTGTTGTGTGAGACAATGTATTATTTGAGTGATATAATTTTTGTGTAAGTACATCTCGAGATTTTCTCGTGTCACTACCGTTACATTTCCACACCCAATATTTAAAACCGTTTCTTCAACGGAAGGATGAAAACCAACAATCAAACTTTGTAAAACAATTCAAATATCTGGCTTTTAATGTTGAGAGACGAAATTGCAGTTCATGCGAGACAATAGAGCATTGTTATCCCTCTTGGAAAAAAATTCTTAGGTGATCCGAGTGCATGTGAGCTCAATGCATCTAAACCCTCAATGTATACAGATCTCACGTGGAATCCATATGATATTACAAAAATGTCCCGTTTTTCTCAAACTCGAGAAACAAGAAAAAGCATCAATTTTTAAAATTTTTCCTCCTCCCGCTTGCTTTTCGCCAAAATTTCCGACTTTTTAAATGTTATCCTCCTATTTTCCATCAACCTAATTCTTCTGAATTTCTGAACAAAGCCTAAAAAACCGGTGTTCAGGCTTCGTTGCTGCAACTCGCAAGCGTGCAAAATGCGTCAGCCCAAAGCATCCCTTCAACTACACGTTACGCATCGTGCTGATGCTGAGACGTGCATTTAAACTTTCAAGAGCAGCCAAAGAAAGAAAAAGCAACATTCCCCCATCCACACACACACACTCTCTCTCTCTATAGCTTGGTGCTCCAGATCTGAGTAGCGTCGGGCGTTTCGGCTTCAGCTCGATAATGGGTGCTCGCATCGTGTACGGGTCGTCTTCCTGTCGTTCTCCTGCGTCTGCATCAAGCTTCTCCACCTCCTCCTCCGCCCCATCTTGTACTTCACCTCCTGACCCGAAACAATCTCAGTCGATGAACAACGGTTAGCTGATGGGGTTGTCCCTAGCTGATGGGGTTGTCCCTCTCTCTCTCTCTCTCTCTCTCTCTCTCTCTCTCTCTCTCTCTCTCTCTCTCTCTCTCTCTGTGCAAATTTCATTTGTGAACCTCATGGAGTTGTTCCTCGGTTGCTTTTGTCGGGATGGTCGATCCACCATTTCAACCGCTTTTCTTTTTTTGGGGGGTCGATGTAAGAAATGGTTCCTTCGTATGTAATGGATTCGATCTGTTTCACTGATGTCGGGTATGGAACATGTTCGTTCGTGGTTGTGTCTGCTTACATATTTTGTTATCAAGATATTAATGTTGATTGCCAGAACTGATGATGCTCGGACGAAAGCACCACCACAAGCCTGTAACTCATGGCCTGTGCAATCTTAGCTGAGTCGACCTAAAAGTCGGCCTGGTTCACTTGGCCGGATTGTTTGAGATTGAGCTCGAGGGCTCGACGTCTCTCTCCACCCGGATGGAGTTTGAATTTTGAAAATCTGAGCTCAACTCGATTGACAAAGTGGTGCACAAGCTTAGAATTCAATTGGGTTGCAAACTGCATTGAAGAGGAGTTAAGTTTAGTGGAGACTTCAAGAGATTGATTTTTAGTTTTGAAAGTAACAATAGATGCAGCATCCTTTGTATACATATAAGCTAAGATTGAAGAGACAAAAAATTGATCAGATTGATAAATTTGTGAGCGGTTCGAGTCTACATGATTTTAAGCTCAAGCTCGACTCGATTCGATTCGATTAGGGGTGTCAAAAAGACCCGAGCCGGCCCGGCCCGACCCGAGCCGGCCCGGCTCGGCCCTGAAATTTAGGGTATTTTAGGGTTGGGTCTCAATTTTTTTAGGATAGGGCTTTTAGGATGGGTATTATTAGAGTTAGGGTAGGGTCAGGTAGGGTCAGGTAGGGTCAGGCCGACCCATTGTTAGACCCATTATTCTCCCTCTTCTCTCTCCTCTCTCTACGTACAAAAAGACTTAACCACCCAACCCCACACTCTCTCTCTCTCTCTCTCTCTCTCTCTCTCTCTCTCTCTCTCTCTCTCTCTCTCTCTCTCTCTCTCTCTCTCTCTCTCTCTCTCTCTCTCTCTCTCTCTCTCTCTATGGAGTCGTGCTTGCTGCAGTGGAGTCGCGCGCACTGCCAGCAGATCTCGCCGCTCCTCAGTCTCTCGTCGACGGCGGCGGCGGCGGCTTCGGCTTCTTCTCCTTCTTTTCGGCGGCCACGGTTCCGGCGTAGATCGGAGGGAAGGGGGGGATTTCTCAAGCTCGCTTCGCTCATGAACGAGGTTTGCCCCCTTTCGCTCCTCCCTCTCCTCTCCTCTCCTCTCGTCTCGTCGGCATTGCTTCTCCGATCGTCGTTTATTCTCCACCTCGATTTACATGTGGGAAGGAAGGATTAGATCACGGGTGCTATTGGTGGCTGAGTTTTTCTGCCGATCCTGCAGTTGAACGGTTGTGTGTTTGCGATTATTTTCTCCGGCGCCGGGGGCCGGAGGAGGGGGAGCTGGCGGCGAGGAACCCTGTCGGCCACCGCCTAGTTCATGCCCTCCCGGAAGTTGGGAGCCGCTGGAAACGGCGGTGCGAGGCGGAGGGGGAGGAGCCGCCCCTGTCCATGGAACCTTCAAGCTAGAGAAAGGGGTGCCGGCGCCGAATAGAGACTGAGCAGGAGGACGATTTATACAACTCTGGTGAGATTTTAGCGTTGAGGCACCGACACCGGCACTGACCCGACCCTACCCGACCCATCTCTTGAGGTAAATGCTGAATAGGGTCTTGGGTAGGGGCGGGGCGGTCAAGTGTGACCCTCTACGTTTTGGGTAGGGTCGGGTATCAGGAAAGCCCTACCCGATCCGACCCATTGACACCCCTGGATTCGATGGTGTGAATGGTGGAGTTATATATACTCAGGCTCAATTAGAATTCGACTTGTCAACAAGCCAAGCTGAAGTGGCTCTCGGAAAAAGATGTGATTTTTTTTCAAGATAGAAAAAAAAAAGTTATAGGTGTCTCAATGAGGTGACATGCATAATCATTGTTAGGTGGTCTTGATCCTCTTTCACCCCAAAAACTAGTTTAATGAGTGAGGTTTTTCCTCATGCTTATAAACTAACCACCAGCTCCGATGCAGGACAACCTCAACAATCTCCCTCTCACACATCGGGCATGGGTCGGAGATGCAACAACCCGTAACTCTCCCGTGTGACTATTGGGTCCAGACTTGTTGACAATATGGGCTCTAATACCAGTGTTGAGTGGTTTTGGGCATCTCTTACACCAAAAGTTAGCTGAAAGGATGAGGCTTTCCCTCACACTTATAAATTGATCACCAGCCCCTTCTACAACCGATGTGGGACAACTTCAACAATCTCCCCCTCACACATCGGGCCTGGGTTGGAGATGCAATAACCCGTAACTCATCCATGTGACTATAGGGTCCAGACTTATTGGTAACCTATGCTCTGATACCAATGTTGGGTGGTTTTGGGCATCTCTTACTCCAAAAGCTAGCTCAAAATGTGAGTCTTTCTCTTATACTTATAAACTGACCACTAGCCCTTTTTCACAACCGATGTTGGACAACCTCAACAATCACATCAACCGAAATTGTGGCTTACTAATCGATTTGAATGGACTGAACTAACTAGTGAAACGATGATGGGGGAAACTCTAATATTTTTTAAGGAACTACCAAGGATGTTGGTACCTTTCTCAAATAACAATACGATGTTAAACAAAATAGTATCAAATTATTGAATTGGGAAGATTTGAGTATAATTATCTTGTTCAAAGCTTATTTAGATGCCACATCATCCTTTATATTCTTCATTGTAATGATAGAGTATTTTTAGGTTAGGTGAACGGTAATCAAGCATTTGAAATCAATTCATAATCCTTAATGCCATAGAGTGCCGTCATCTATAACCGACGAGGTTTCAATGACACTGCAATGGCTACATCACGACGAGGTTTCGACGACAGCATCGATGCCTCATCAAGATCTGGAGACCCCGTGAGAGAAAAGAGAAGGAAATGAGCAGTTACTTAATGGAGCAAGCAAAGAGAGAATGTCAAGTCATATCTCAAGACCTTCTTCAGTAACCTCAACAATAGCAACAAAAGAGAAATTATGAAAACTCTTTTTGCAGGTATCAGAGTTAGAATTATGTTTCCATCCGTCTCTGGTCGGAGGAAACTTCAGCCGACCACTGTTTTGATTGGTGGATTATACTCATGGACATCGCCGGCATCTATATCCGATTAAGTTTGCATGTTTGTGATGTCTACGATTCACAACCTAACAATCACGTGTATAGCTGAGGGTCGAGCTAATTAGAGGGTCCTTTGAACTGATTGCTGGTGCATCAAATTCATGCACGAAATGGTTTGAAGTGACAGAATTGATTTAACACCTAAATGCATGGAGGAAGTTAGCTATTAACGACAACCAGCCACTATTCTTAAACATCCACGATCTAACACGGAAGAAGGTAGACCGTTCATTGGAAACTTAGTGGTTCCTCCATCCTCATGCATCCACGATCTGACATGGGCTTTTAATGGCGATCATTCCTATCCTCAAATTTCTCTCTTTGGCTCTCCTTTTTCACCCTCTTTTTCTTTTCTCTCCATGGATCTTTCTCCGAACAAATCGTTCCATCTGATAATTGCAGATCTTGATCCATCCCATTGAGACCATAGATTGAAGACAGAAGATGGAGGATTCCTCTCTAGGAGCCGGACTAATTGCCGTATGCGCTGTCTCCGGAGGCATGGTTCTTTTTTCGCTCCAACTCCACAAATGTCTCCTCTCCGAATTCATGAAGGAGATTGAATTCCACTTCCTTGGTACGCAAAAGATTTCACGATTGTCGTTATCATTGCCAATATCACATTAACAATATTTTCTCGTTGCCGACCATTGCATTTACCTTTAGCAACGAGAACATTCCATTGTTATTTCAAGGCAGGATGTGCCGCTTAAAATTCTGGGACGAAATTCCGGTTTCGTTGCTAAGAGGTCTTTTAGCGACTGGGCTGATTGTTTCAGCGAATCTTGTACCTCATTTTGAGTCGTTTCACGATGCCTACGCTATCGATTTGCCAGGAACCAAGACACACAAAGCAAAAAGGAGATCAACCCAGCACCAGAACAACGCGACAAACCCATCCCGGAACAACAACAGAGCTCCCACGACAAGAATCCCGAAGCCAGACAAAGGGCATCAAGTTAAGAACTCTAACCAATGTGCAATGGAGGATCGCGACCTCGAATTGGAAGTGATGCCAGTTAACAGACAAATGTTGTACAGGGGGATTTTGCAGAACAAACATCTTAGAGGGCATTTTGTACCTAGGCATTCCTAGTATAAAATGATTCAATGTGATGTGCGATTGCCATACGGGTGTTCACCAGAAAGCTGTCACGAATGCCAAACCCTCGACAGCATGGTGTTGATCTCCCAGGACAGCTTTAATCCACAATTTTCGAACTACTCAACGGTCTTAATATCGATATCCAGGCATTTGCACCAGCAAAAATGTGGATCTGAGCGCTAATCTAGGTGACTGAAACTCATTCACTCTTCTTTATTTTAGACTTCTCCCCTCGCAACTGTCAATGAACAGAAGTCTGTCGTTGCACCTTGCAGTGATTGTATGAATTTATCTTTGACTTGGGTTATAGCTTAACGGGAATTGTTTTTATATTCAACTGCTAAAAATGATAGGTTTAGTTCTTCATTGATTGGTCGCTAATTCTAATTAATTATTTGCAGTCATCTCGAACGAATTATCATGTTTTATTTCAGATAATTCTTCACGAAGTACAGTGGTTAAGGTTGCGCTAAATGTAAGTTCGAATCTCACCTTCCTCCTGGATATGACTACTCCTTTTCTCCTCACCACTATAAGAGCTCAAGCAGCACTCTAACAAAACAAAAAAAAAACTGTGTAAAATACTAGCACACTACTCTAATCTATGGACAAATTTCTCCGCAGGCCACTTCATCGCAGCAAAATTCATACTTGGAGTTCCATGTGTGTTGATATTTTTAATCTATAAATGGATGAGAAAGCACCTAGCAATGGACGAAAACATCGAGAAATCCCTACAAGCTCAAAACATCTTTTTGCCCATAAGGTACTTTTACTCATATATCAAGAAAATTACAAGAAATTTCAGACACAAATTAGGTGAAGGAGGATATGGCTTCGTGTATAAACGAATACTTAGAAGTGGCAGTGAAGTTGCCGTTAAGATTTTGAATAAACCAAAATCTAAGGGCCAAGATTTTATAAGCGAAGTGGCTACTATTGAAAGAATATACCATGTTAATGTGGTGCAATTGATTGGTTTTTGCTTTAACAACACTAAGCAAGCTCCGGTGTAAGATTTCATTTTTAACGGTTCATTGGATAAGCACATTTTCTCTAAAGATGGTGACTATTCTCTTGATTATAAAAAAGTATGTAAGGTCTCTCTTGGTGTGGCTAGAGGGATAGAATATCTACATCAAGGATGCGACATGCAAATTCTATACTTTGACATCAAGCCTCACAATATTCTTCTAGATCAAAATTACACTCCAAAAGTTTCTGGCTTCGGGCTAGGAAGATTTTATACCAGAGACCACAACATAGTGTAGCTGATTGCTACAAGAGCGACCTTAGGATTTATGGCTCTTGAGCTATTCTATAAGGACATTGGTGGTGTCTCTTGTAAAGCTGATGTTTATAGTTTTGGGATGTTGCTAATGGAAATGGCCGATAGGAGAAGAAATGTAAATGCAAATGCTAAGTGTTCAAGTCAAATTTATTTCTCTTTGTGGGTTTATAATCAACTCAGCAAAGACAATTAAGTTGAAATAAAAGACATTGAAGAGGAAAGAGAGTAATTAGAAAAATGGTAGTAGTTGCTCTTTGGAGTATACAATTAATCCCCAATGATCAGCCATCAATGAACATAGTTCTACACTTGAAGGTGGTATTGATAAATTGCAACTGCTCCTGAAGCCGCTTCTATATTTATCCGAGAAGCTAGTTGATGATGTCGACTTTGAAATAGAACAGGAATCATTCTCAACTTCATCAAGTGCTTTGTCAATTTCCGATGATTATCGACTTCAAAATAACAATAAAAATACTAAATCATGCATCGTTTGATTTTCTTTTCTCCTTGTATAAATGAAATGCAAAATAAAGGTAATTTTATCAGAAGCATAATTTCCCATCTTTTATTTTTATAATCCGTGTTTTGCATAAGAATTGCCTCATGGTTATCTATTTACATTTCTAGTTTTCTGAATGCTCTTGATATGACAGACCAAGCTCGTCTTGTGTGGAGCAATGAGTCTCTTCTTCTCTCCCCCATCCAATATCAAGCTCTCTCCTTCCCACCAAAACCCCCCACCCTCGCCCCTTGACCAACTACTGACCTCCCCTCTCGATGGCGGCCACCTCCGCAGAGAAATCTCCCTTCGAACTCAAGTACCATGACGGGTCCCATCCCGACGACCTCACCTTCTCTTTCTTCCTCAAGTCTTGCATTCGCTCCGTCACGCTCATGCTCGGGAGGCGCGTCCATCGCGCACTCGCTCCATCTCAACTCGAGCTCGACTTGGTGATTCTCTATTCGCATATTAGTCTCTACTCAAAATGCAATGACTGGGATGAAGCGGAGCGGATTTTTAGGGACATGGGTAATAAAAGGGACTTGGTTTCTCGGAGTTCCATGATCTCTTGATATGCCAATAATCCCCTGGAGTTCAAAGTGGTTGATACTTTTGTTCACATGCTTGAAGATGGTTTCTAGTATGATAGGAAATTCTTTACAGATACGCTTAGTACGACCAGCTTAATGGTGAATGGATACTCATCGACTGCGATCGGATGTTGGACTCTTAAAAAAGTGTGATCAGGTCATATTATTCTATTCGTAGAAATATTTAGGTGCTCGTGTTACGTTCGAGTGAGTAATTGTAAGCTCGATGTGTTTGAAAATCCTTGTGGAGGGATTAAAGTTGCGGGTAGAGTTGGTGTCTTACTGATGTCCACGATTATGATGAAGTTCAAGTGCAGCGGCTTGGACTTGAAAGATCCTATGGTGGTTAAGCCCATAAGAAATTGTGGGAGAGTAGCACTGATTAAGTTCCAGCGAAATGAATGTGAATTCACTCAAACGTCAAGTTAATGTGGAGATTATTAGATCTCGAGTTTAAGCTCGTAAAAGAAATTCCTGATTCACTTAGGAGATTTCTTATTTGGCTTGTTTGGCATATATTCAATGGACATCCGAATCTGGAAATTAAAAGAAAATCCAAATTGGACCAATTAAAAGAAAAATCACTTTTTCACGTTGGATTTAGAAGTTGGCCACAATTTCCTCATTTTGTTGCAAACATATATATTCAATCATGACTTTTTGGTTTTTAGGTTGTTGAGGCTAACAATGCAACCAAGAGAAGGCTGAATAGGTTTGATTCTCAAAGCTTAAAATTTTTTCGCAAATAAGTCAAGTTTAATAGATGTAGGAACAATTTGATAATATCGGATGCATGATGCTTTTGTGAGATAAAGAATGAAATAATGGAATTCACTATTAATCACTTGAGTAGCTACAACAAAGCAAGTGTTCCATCGGCCAAAGTTGACAGATCCCACAATCAGTATACAAGCATTGCTTATATCCTTGTACACTTCCCAAATCACAATTACAATCAACAGGAACTTTTAGCATTTGTAGCTTTCTCGTTTTTCTGTGTATCCTTCAGCTTGCAGTAGTTTCTTAAATAATCTTGAATCTCCAAATTATCTGTTGGAGAATCTTCAAGAGCATTAAAGAGGCCATTGGAATTAATAAACACAATCACCGGGAAATCTGATTGCGCATAGAATCAGATATTTTTGGTAATAGTCAATTGCATAATCTTCTTATTGAGTGAGTGAAATAGGTAACAACTGATTTGATTTGGATCCTGATTTTATTTCCAAAATTTCAGGTCCAAAGGCTATAGGTGTTAATTCTTTTGACCGACGAATCAAGTCAAAGAAATATCTGGATCTTCTTATCCCCGGACTACTTTCTTTCTAGGAAAAAAATCTCCAAAAAATAGTTGAATAAAGGCCAAACCCCTACTAGATTACAAAATAGTTGGAAGACGGTTCGGGTGCATCGATTTTGTTCTTGGAATTGCACGCACCACCGTCTTTCACTCCGCCCACTTCCTCCATTGTATCAATCTTTCAACCACCATCAAACCAAACCCTCTTCTTATCCCCTCTTCTTTGTCCACACGTACGTGTGCTTTTCGTTAGGGTTTCCTCCTACAAAACCAGCCCTTCCTTCACATAAACACACAAAACTACACCGGAAAATCACCGACACACAGCCTTCAATGGATTCACCGATAGCATTGCTTGCACTTCCCCTCGTCGTCATCTTCTCCGCCTCTTTGGCCAGTGCAGAATCCAAACTGGTAAACGAGGTCTGCAGTAAAACCAAAGATTACTCGAGCTGCGTCGCAGCTCTGCAGCTCGACCCACGAGCTGCAAAAGCAACTACGCTTCGTTCTCTCGGCGTAATTGCTTTGCAAATAGCATCGAAGGACACTGCCGGGAGTCGAAAGGATGTGGACCAATTGCTCATGGACCCAAAGACGAGTTCCTCATGGAAGCCGGTGCTCGAGTCTTGTAAGGCTAACATCGACACCGCGGCTTTGCAGTTCTCAGTAGCGAGTCGTGAACTTGCACAAGGCGCATTGTCTGCAAATTATGATGTTTTGTTGGCCTCGGATGCAATCGACCCGTGCTTGAAGTCCATGACAAGTAGCCAGCAGAATATTCCACCATTAGTCACCATATGCACTCGTGCCAAAACTTTCGTTTCCATCGGCCGTGTCGTTACCGACTAGAAGTTTTAACGAGTGTGGATTGAATTTCTGTAATAATGTGCAGCACACATGAGGAACGTTAACGAGGTAGGATTATATTTCTGTAATAATGATCTCCTTGTTGAATGCTTTCGCAGTATGTGCAATTGCTACAAGAAATGTTTCTTTTCAGCAACATTACTGTGGTGGTCCAACCAATTAGAAAATACAGCAAAAGCAGCCATTTTTGCAGCTTCTCTCTAATTTGGCACAAAGGAACAAAGATTACTCGTTTACTGCAATGATTCTAACTCTTTTGCAAAGAGATCTAAAATCACAGTAAGATCGTATCTTTTATTTTTTATTTTTTATAAAAACAATGCTTCATTGCCTAAAGAATGACCAAATATAAGTATTGCAATGCGCTTCTCCTTTGGAAAAAATCATTTTGCCCCAACATTTTGCTAGATTTTGTTACTATATGTATCAATTTGGGATCTTTTGCAACGTAAAAATTAGATTTAAATAGATATGATGCGGGTTTACCAATTTGAGATTTTAATTGATACGAAAATTAATTTTGGATAAAGATAGTACGGATCTATCATTGTTGGATATTTTGATAGTTTTGAAATATTGAAAGCTATTAATTTTTCTGACGATTATTTACCGTCATTAATTTGTAACGGTTTTTGTAATATTGAGGTTTCTTATATATATATAATCTTGAATCTCCAAATTATCTATTGGAGAATCTTTAAGAGCATTAAATAAGCCATTGGAATTAATAAACACAATCACTGGGAGATCTGATTGCGCATAAAATCATATATTTTTTGTAATAGTGAAGATAATGTCAACTATTTGTGTCAATTGTCTATCCTCTTATTGAATAAGTGAAATAAACAATAACTGATTTGATTTAGATCCAGTTCTTCTTTCCAAAATTCCAAATTCAAAAACTAGGTGTTAATTCTTATATCATCTACTCTCCCAAACTTAGAACAACTAATAAGGCTGGAATCCTCTAGTAATCACTCAAACAAAGCAAGTGTTCCATCTGCCAAAGTTGATAGAACCCTTGATCAGTACACAAGCACTGCTTATACACTGTACACTTCTCAAATCACAATTACAATCAACAGGAACTTTCAGCATTTGTAGCTTTCTCGTTTTTCCGTGTGTCATTCATCTTGTATAAGTTTCTTATATAATCTAGGGATATATGCACTAGAAGTCCTAAAATTTATTATAAAAGTGCAATTGAGTCATAAAACTTGCAAAAAATGCAATCGAGTCCTAAAACTTATCAAATTAGTTCAATCGAGTCCTAAAGTTAACACCGTCTAATTTACTAGCGGAAAATGCTGACATATTTTATTAATTTTTTTGAAACACGTGGCGTCCAACAAGAGCCACGTCAAAAAAAGTTAAAAAATTTAAATTAAATTAGAAAAAACTAAAAGTAAAAAAAAAAAAAAACAGAGAGCCACACCCAGCGACTGTGGCAGTGGCCAAGCCCTCACCGGTGGCCGCCGCCACAGCCATCGAGAAGGGCCAGCGGAGGTCGCCTAGGCCTTCCTGAAGGCCGGCGACCCTCGCCGACCCCAGGCGAGGGCCTACAGCCCCCAACGAGGGTCGCCAGGCTTCGGGAAGGCCCAAGCGACCTCCGCCGGCCCTTCCCGACGGCTGTGGTGGCGGCCACCGGCGAGGGCTTGGCCACCGCCATAGCCACTCGTTATGGGTCCTTTTTTTTTTTTTTATATATAGCTTTTTATAATTTAATTTATATTTTTTCAACTTTTTCTGATGTGGCGCTTGTTGGATGCCACATCATTGCCACATGTCTCAAGAAAATTAATAAAATAAGATACGTTAGCGTCACGTCAGCATTTTCCGTTAGTAAATTAGACGGTGTTAACATTAGGACTCGATTAAATCAATTTGAAAAGTTTTAGGGTTCGATTGCACTTTCTGCAAATTTTAAGACTTCTGGTGCACATATCCCTATAATCTAATCTCCAAATTATCTATTGGATAATCTTAAAAAGCATTAATGAAGCTATTGGAATTAATAAACACAATCATCGGAATATCAGATCGCGTGTAGAATTGGATACTTTTGCTAATAGCGAGATTTCCAAGATAACGTCAACTATTTATGTCAATTGTCTGATCCTCTTATTGAGTGAGTGAAATACGTAATGACTGATTTGATTTAGGTCTAGAATCTGGGTATTAATTCTTTTGACCAACGAATCAAGTCAAAGGGAACTCTGGATCTTTTTATCCCCGGGCTACTTAGACATATATACGTGCACATTTAGTTTGAACAAAGGCCAAACCCCTTCAAGATTACAAAATAGTTGGAGACAGTTCGGGCTCCTCGATTTTGTTCTTGGAATTGCACGCACCACCGTCTTTCGCACCGCCCACTTCCTCCATTGTATCAATCTTCTCGCCACACACAGCCTTCAATGGATTCACCGAGCCACAAACTTTGTGGCATTGCTTGCACTTTCCCTCGTCGTCATCTTCTCCGCCTCTTCGGCCAGTGCAGAATCCAAACTGGTAAACGAGGTCTGCAGTAAAACCAACGATTACCCGACCTCCGTCTCCGCTCTGCAGCTTGACCCACGTGCTGCGGAAGCAACCACGCTTCGTTCTCTCGGCATAATCGCTTTGGAGATAGCGTCGAAGGACACTGCCCGGAGTCGAAAGGATGTGGACCAATTGCTCGCGGACCCAAAGACGAGTTCCTCATGGAAGCCGGTGCTCGAGTCTTGTAAGGCTAACATCGACACCGCGGCTTTGCAGTTCTCAGTAGCGAGTCGTGAACTTGCCCAAGACGCACTGTCTGCAAATTATGATGTTTTGTTGGCCTCGGACGCAATCGACGCCTGCTTGAAGTCCATGACAAGTAGCCAGCAGAACATTCCACCATTAGTCACCATTAGTCACCATATGCACTCGTGCCAAAACTTTCGTTTCCATCGGCCGTGTCATTACCGACTAGAAGTTTTAACGAGTGTGGATTGAATTTCTATAATAATGTGCAGCACACATGAGGAGCGTTAACGAGGTAGGATTATGTTTCTGTGATAATGATCTCCTTGGTGAATGCTTTCGCAGTATGTGCAATTGCTGCAAGCAATATTTCTATTCAGCAACATTGCTGTGGTGGTCCAACCAATTAGAAAATAGAGCAAAAGCAGCCATTTTTGCAGCTTCTCTCTAATTTGGAACAAAGAAACAGAGATTACTCTTTTACTGCAATGATTCTAACTCTTTTCCAAAGAGATCTAAAATCATAGTATGATCATATCTTTTATTTTATTTTTTTAATTTTTATAAAACAACGATTCGTTGCCTAAAGAATGACCCAATATAAATATTGTAATGCGCTTCTCCATTGGAAAAAATCATTTTGCCCCAACATTTTGCTTGATTTTGTCACAATATGTACCAATTTGGGATTTTTTGTAATCTAAAAACTAGATTTGGATAGACATGACGCGTGTTTACCAGTTTGAGATGTTCATTAATACGAAAATTAATTTGAGATAAAGATAGTACGAATGTATCATTGGATATTTCGATAGTTTTAAAATATCGAAAGCTATTAATTTTTCTAACGGTTATTGACCAATGGTTTATGTAATAGTGAGGTTTCTTATATAATCTTAAATCTCCGAATTATCTATTGGAGTATCTTCAAGAGCATTAAAGAAGCCATTGGAATTAATAAACACAATCACCAGAGATCGATTCTGCATAAATTAATATATTTTTTTTGTAATAGTGAGCTTTCCTAGATAATGTCAGCTATTTGTGTCAATTGTCCAGTCCTCTTATTGAGTGAGTGAAATAAATAATAACTGATTTGATTTGGATCCAGTTCTTCTTTTTAAGATTCTAGATTCAAAAACTAGGTGTTAATTCTTATATCAAGCTTACATCTACTCTCACAAACTAAGAGCAACCAATAAGGCTGGAATTCACTAGTAATCACTTGAGTAGTTATAACAAAGCAAGTGTTCGTTTTGCCTAAGTTGATAGATCCCACAATCTATACACAAGCACTACTTATACATACACTTGTACACTTCTCAAATCACAATTACAATAAACAAGAACTGTAAGCATCTGTAGCTATTTCGCCGGAAATGCTCCCGCGACGAAATATAATTCACCGAACGTAGTTCTTCGGTTCTTAATGAGAGGAGACCGGGTTCCGTGGCGACTCCGGAGAGAAATATCCAGGAAGACAAGGAAAAACTACGAACTTTTACTTCGAACTTCGAACCGGACTGTACGTACAAACCGTGCCGGAATTTAATCAATGACAAAGCTTGAAAATACAGCCACACACGTACACAAAGATGTAACGCCAGAATTTAATCGACGACGCAACACCCGGGATAGAAATAGACTTCGGAATTTAATCGACGATGCGAATCGAAAAACTATAGCTAAGGAAAGATAAAGTGCGGTACATGAAAATAAAAATAATTAAAAGATAACATGTTGTTTGATTTTGGTGGTGGGCTCTCCAGTAGATGGCCAATGATATTTATAATGATTGTGTAGTAACTGCTCTTTGGTGGTCTTCAACGGTTGTGCCCATGTTCTTCCATTCCGAAAATCTTGCCTTCATGTCCATATGATGCCATAATCCTGCTTTCAAGATAACTGTCCCACGTTCTTGTCTACAAGTGATAACTGCCTAATGATCATGCTTCCAAGTAACTGTTTCCTAAAAATATACATGTATGCTCCTTAGTGGTTTCCAATAGTTACGTTGAGTCGACTGCCTTGACAGTTTATTCGGCTCCACTACGTTGGCAGTTGCTTCGACCCATTATGTTGACGATTACTTCTTCGATAGTTGTATCCGAGGTTATCGACTCCACTTTTTGTTGATTCCTTCAAGTTGGCACTTCTTCACTGAAGTGTATTAATTTTCGCATTCTGACCAGTCATAATCATCAACTTCCTTTTAATTTCGACAGCTCTACAGTAATTTTCTGAGAAAATTCAAA